CATATTTACCAAAAAAAAAAAAATTCAACCATTCTTCATTTGGCTGCCCTCAGGGCCGGCCTTGTATATAGAAGTTAATTTTTTTTTAATATACTTGTTTGCGAAATGAGTTTTATTTTATTTTATTATTATGACTTAGGCTATGAACCTCCGCGATGTCGCCGGAAACTCATTTTTAACAAATTTTTGTATTTATGTATTAAATTTACAAATATATTTGATTGTGTTTATGTATTAAATTATTCTGATAATATATTCAAATATTTGAATTATTACATAAAATTAATTATGTTTTAAAGTTATATCGTAAATATTTTCTAAAGATGTTAAAAATATTTATGAATAAAATGTAAAAAAGAAGAATTATTATTAAAAACACTTTTGAAACATTTTTTATGAATGTAAAATTATTTATAAGTGACAAAATACATAAAGAAGAGTTATAATATAGAGATGAGAAATTCTAACGGATCAAAACCCAAAATTTTGGATAGAGTCGGTATTTAGCACGACTTGTGGGTGACTAAGAACTTTTTCCGAGAATTGGTATTTTTTGTTAGCCCACTATTCTTTAAATATAAAATTAATATTTATTTTATTATATATATTCGAGAAAATAAAAAAATTTGATGACGTAAATTATATCTATAACAAACATATAAACATTTACAAGATCTCACAAATTTATATTTATGTTGATAAATTAACTAAGTAAAAAAAAAATTCTTTGAATATTCATGTGACGAATTGGAAGCATTGCTTTTTTACTAGTAATGGAAATGGTTTCTGAATTACTATACCATTTGAAACGGTTTATTTGACGCTTACCACATTTAAAGCGCCCAATCACAAGCGTCACATGATGATGTCTTCTCATATTTAGATTTTGTAATAGTGTTAATGCAACATCAATTTCATTATATACAACCCATATATATTGTCTTAAGATAGAAAGCATTATTATTGCCATATAAAATAGTTAAATAAAAAAAATCATTGTATAATCCGTCCAATTCTCAGAAAAAAATTGTTGGTATCTTCATTAGAAGTTTATAGTTAAAGTTGATTAAAACTTCTCCATTTTTATAATCATTCCAAAAAAACATTAGTTAGATCAAGAATTAATGGAATTTCTTTAATATTAAATGATATATGTTTAAAAATAGTTTAGAGAATAAAGAATTTGGAGCCATTTTACAGATTATTTTTTTTGGATTCATCATGAAACAAATAATCTATGTTAAAAAATAAAATTTGGAAACTACTTAGGAAGAATGACAAATATATAGAGTTCAAAAGTCATGAAACATTTAAATAGACAACTAGTCATACAAAAAGTTGTGACGAAAAAATACAATGCAATATAATGAAGAGACGTAACTTTAAATGAATAGATGCAACTATAAAGATACAACCGTAAACTGAAAAATATGACAAGGTAGAGAAACAAAAATCTCTGGATTTTCAAGCTTTAAAGACACCAATGTCTTGCTTTTATGTTCACATAAAAGAAATCTGTGAGATACCGGCCGGCGACCAACACATGTGGCTATCCCCACTTCTTCAATCTTGCATTGTGTAAATGGACTTGGCTTAAAGATCATTGAGTTCAACTTTTTCAGGTGTGACCGGTTAAACTTCATAAATATGTTCATGGAACTCACAAAGACTGATCCATTAAGTGGGAATTTCATGACCTTTTAGTTAAGTCCATGAACATTTAACCAAAGATTTCTCTATCGAGTAGATAAAACGCTCGTCTTTGGAATCTTTGATAGGAAGGTTAAAGAGTTTCTTAGTTAGCAAAGAATATGGCAATGCGCTGATTCCATCACTAGAGCATGAGTTTCTCAGTTTATCCCAAATTCTAGGGTTCAAAGTCAGATCAAAATAACTACTTAAACATACAATCGAAGGAAGGAATAATGAAGTCCATTAAATTCTAGGGTTTAGACTCATTCTACTTTGTCAAATTTTTGCTTAGGCCAAAAGGGCAATTCAAAACTTACTGTACATAAAAAGCCTAGAAGGGTCAAAGCATATTACTTGAGGTTTACGGTAACGTTATGCAAACCTAAACGGCCAAAATTTGAAATAGTATTAGTATTAGTTATCATAATAAATCCCACATCGGATAGTTTTAAGGACATGATCTAGTATATAATAAGCATGAATAATTGACATAATAACCAAATTGGCTTTGGGGAGAGAAAAGCTTATGAATCTTCTTGTGGGATCATTACCCTTTGACCCAATGAATTAATAACAAATGGGAATAGATGATTCGTTAACGAGAAGAATACCATAAGCCAAAGCCAATTGGTTTTGCTCTTTGAATATAATAAAACTCAGAAATAATTATTTCCGTCGAGAGACAAGAAAATTAAAACTATTGGGAAGAAGGGACAACAATCAAAATGCTTAGTAGAAACTTCATATCAATAGTTCAATTTTGTTGTTGTTGAAATTGGAATCTTTTGCTTTGGTTCAATTGAGACAAATGGAGGACCTTACTCCTTAGAAAGTATGAGGAGCTTAAAGAAAAAGTGTAGGACTGCGAAATCCCGATTTGAAAACAGAGAGAAAGAATTTTTAGAAAACGATTTGGAAAGACGAATTTAGAAAACTCGTGAATGCGAGATTTGAAATCTCTTTCCGTAATCGAAACTAGCTCCCGTAGATGAGACGGTTTTATAAGCAGCGGATTGCAGGATACAATCACAATGAGACCGTTATCGCTTCACTCGATAGCGGAATCTACGAACTTGATATAAACGATATACTCTTGAGATTTACTTTGAGAAGAGAGATAGGAGAGAGTTTTGTTGTTGCGTTTTTTGTATGAAAGCGTGAAAAAAATGAGAGTGAGAAGTGTTGCTTTTATAGGCGAGAGGAGAAGCACCTTGATCCGCAAGAGAAGATTCCATTATCTGTTCATCCGATGACGGACGTCACCGAAAAAGTCGCCGGAAAGTTAGCCGGAGCCACTTGTGTAAAAAATGAGTTCCAACAAAAAGTGCCAAGAGTTATCTTTGCGGTAGAGGCAAAGGATTTGGTTGGGGCTATTACAAAGGTAAATGGATGTTTTGGGATTCATTGAAAGTTTCCCCTCTTCAAGTTCAAAACTCTTCCATTATCGAAAGTTTCCACAATGGAGATATATATTACTTGAGGGACAAGCAACCAATGGAGCTTTTAGGTCAAAAGACGAAGGTTTAGGGTTTAGGGTACTCTTGGACCGGCTTCAAAATCGGTGGAGATGATCGATAAGTTTCTCAAAAACCGGTATGAACGTACCATCAAGAAACTCTCGATACTCTCAGAACCGTTATGGACAACACTGGCAGGCCCGGCCCGCTCATAAAGCAGCCAAAGCATGTGCTTTAGGCCACAAAATATTAGACATTTTTTAGGGCCACATGTTAGAAATCTTTGTTTGGTCGGTTGGTTATGTATTTAGCACTTGACTAACAAGTGGTGAGTTCGAGTCTTTATTTTTACAGTATTTTTCTTTTCGTTTTTTTTTCCCTTTTATGGTTTTTTTTTTGTTGTTTTTTTTTCTTAAGTATGCTTTAGGCCACTAGAATCCAAAGATTGGCCTGAACACTGGTATCTTCTGCGCCGTCATGCTTGACACAAAGGTACAAAATTCGTTCTTGCTATATTTTAGATCTCTTTAGTATATTATATTATTATTCATTATTTTGAGAATCGATGCTTGAATCCATGACCAAATCTCCCTCGTCCAACTCAAGCGCCGAAGCTACCGACGTTGCAAACGCCGTTCTTGACGGGACAGATTGTGTTAAACCCAAATTATGAGTTCATGCCATTATTGTCTTAACTAACTAAATCTATGAATTTTTAAGAGATATATTGTTAGCGAAAGAAAATTCACAGGCCAAGGGCATAGTCTTCTTAGATTCACTGATATAATATAAGCAACAAGATTGGAGTTACCAAAATATGTCCATATAAAGGACAAGTCAATAAGGCATGTATATATGCAATCAATGAGAAATACAATTCACATCTATATATACATTTTTGGAGAAATCCTGGAGTTTCACCTTATTTACGAGTTCATGCCATTATCATTTATTATTATTTTTACAAAATTTAAATAAAAAATATTAACCAAACAATATCTTGCCTAATTTGTTTCTAAAAATCTCTACACAATCTTTCCATATATCTTCAAAAAAAAAATTTATAGCAAATATTTATATTAACATTTTGCATAGCAATAAAAATACTAATTTATAATAATCAAAATATTCACATAGAAAAATCATATACACATACAGGAAAAAGAACTATATCTATCATCATTTAAGCCGTTGCTTTATTTAAAAAAAAAAAAAACACAAAAACTTGAAATCATATACACTTTATATGATAAATTTAAAATATATATTAGTAGTATCAATTTAAAATCGTTCAAAGAACGGTATACCATGGGTGAGATTCTAAAATTATTAGATTTTATAACAATAATAATTTATTTCTTGGATTTTATAACACTAATAATTTAGTTAACGAGATAATATAGACGGGTTTATATGGGATGACGGGTTTGGGTCGATATTAATAAATAATGGTATATCACGGATGAAATCCTAAAATTAACAATCAAAATAAAATTATACAATCTTAAACACAAACAAAAAAAACAATATTAACAAAACAAATCCAACTTAAATTTAAAATTTTTAGTTATAAAAAAACCGACCCACGGTATACTGAAGAGTAAAATATTCAAAATTTTAAAATCTACCATACATCGTTACTTAAGAAAAATGTATGTTTTCGTATCTATACTTCAAAAATTGATAGATAGATATCTACATTTAAAAATACAAATTAATATGATATATCCTTAATTAATCTTTAAAAGAATAACATTACATTTTTAAAAAAAATATAACCCCGCGGTATACCGCGGATTAAATTCTAGTTCTATATTATGTACTTATGTTATATTTAGCATATAAAAGATACAAAATGGAGCGAGTCACGACCTTTTTCTCTTCTCTCTCGTTGAAGTGTCGCCCTAGCCGCCACAGAAGCAAATTTTCCGATCTCCCTCTCCGGTGTGTGGCGCTCCTCGCCGTCACTGTGAGAGGGTCCCTGCTGCTTTGTCTTTCTTTGTTTATTGTCTTTGGGTTTTGCCTCAGCTTTCTCCGGTGAGTAGAGCAGAGTTTTGTTCGCTCGTTGTTGTAGTCTGGTCTTCACGGTGTGGTATGCTCGGTGTTCTCTGCGATCGTCGATCTCCCTCCCCTAGCGATGTCTGAAGATTGAAGATTTGTTTCGTCAGATCCAGTGAGTGCTAGGGTCTCGTGGCTTGCTCTTCTCTGTTCGTCTGGTCCTGGGTTTTTGTTTGTCTATTGGTCGGGTTTACTTTCCTCCTGCTCTTGTTCCTTCTCCGTGAAGCTGAGGTTAGTCTGTTTGGGTTTGTTTGCATTGTTTTCGGCCTGCGTTTGGTGACTCTTCTGGTTTGTTTCGAGTTTGTTTCTGGGTCTTGCGGTTTCGGTTGAAGCAGCTGTGTTTGTGGGTTTATGATTTAGCGAAACGTTTGGCTCCGGATTGTTAGGATCTACGGTGCTGCTCTGAGAATTATGCCTTTGTTTTGCTGGATCTAATCCTATTCTTAGTCGCTTTTGTGCTTATTGTTTCCAATGCCGTCTTTGTTGAGTGGTGTTTGGGTCTTAGTCAGGTTAAGTCCAGCATTTGCTCTTCCTTCCGTTCCTGGTCTCCTCGGCTCAATCTTTGTTTCACATTGGGATCGTTTCCATGCTAAGAAGAAGTTTTGATTTGTTTGTGTGGTTCGCTAGACCTCTAAGTATACATCTCGTTCTTCTCCCTGATGTTGTTCGTTGTGGTTGTTAGCTGTCTCGGTTTGTCGTCTTTCTTGTTCTTGAGTTTGGTGATTTTCGAGATGCTGGGCCTTTCTCCTTGTCCTTGCTTTCCTGATCTGTTTTGATAGGATCGCCTTTTGAAGGTTTCTAGTTTGACGTTTTTTGGCGCAGCAGTCGTCGATCGTCGTATTCGGAAGTGTGCTCGAGGTTCTCTTAACTCTTTTGTCTCGCTTGCCGGGTTATGAAGTCTTGGTTCGTGGTTTCGAGAGATCAGCTCTCATCGTGATAGGAGGAGGTAGATGTTATCTTCGGTTTGGCCGCGGGCATCCTTGGTAAATCTCAATCGCTTGTGCTTCAGAAGAATTGGGTTCTTGTGTTCTTGGGTCTTTCGTTTCTTTTAAGGTTTATGCTTGATGCTTCTTTCTTAGTTTTTGGTTTCGACCTCTTGCGTTTGTGGTTTGAATTCTTTTGCTTTGTACTACTACTGTTTTTAGTTTCCCTTCTATAGGGCCTAGCTTCCGGGGAAATCTCGCTTTCCGCCGGCTTTGTCTCCGGGGACATACATGTCGTTCGCCGGCTTTAGTTTCCCTCTTTTGGGCGTTGTATTCTATCCTGGTTCCATTTGAAGATCAATAATAAAATTCTAGATGACAAAAAAAAAAAGATACAAAATGGAGCAAAAGCTTTAACAAAAAAAGGCGTTAGCGATTTTTTTCCGCAACAAAATTGTAAATTATTTTAAGCAATTTAAGTGGAGCTCTTATTGATTATTTTCAGTGGAACGCGTGGTCGTGACTAGATGATTCCTTCTTTCCCATAATAGTTCACCACAAATCTCTATCAAAAATCATACTAATTTTAGATTTTATATAACCATTATAAATTATATATATTATATATTTATAGGTTTATGGTTTGTCATCTGTTATATGTTTTAGTCAACGGTTGTTAATTAGTTGTATCAAAACTATGTTTCATGTGTAAAACCATTTACATTAATTGAAAGTAGAAAATACATCTTTAATTACCACACATGAATATATTCGACTATTTGAGATAGAAATTAAAAGAAACACGTGAGTGGATCAGGCGTTGAAGGCGGCGAGGTTAGGGAGGGCAGGTGACAGTAACAGAGAAAGGCGGTGATCGAGACGTGGCCGGCCGGTCCCTGAGATTCACGCCTCCTACTTCACCGTATATATTTTAAAATTCCTCATTTTAGTTAACTTTATGATTTTATTATATCACCAAAATTGTTTACTCGATTTATTTTTATTTTTAAAAATATGATGAAAATTGATGGTGAACAATATAAACATGGAAAAAAGATACTCAGCTACAAAGTATAACCGAATACATGATTACACATGCCAAGTTTAAAAATGTACGATCAACTACACGAACTAAATGTATTGCATACCCACATATACCAACTATATGACGACATGTGGTCAACATCACGAACATTTTATTCTGATACACTATTCATCAAAATTCGGCGTTGACAATCGTTGACCGGCAGTGGTGGATCCAAAACAGATTTCTATATAGGGCACAACATATAAACCACAATAATTTAATTACAAAAATTATCAAAAAGAGGCACTATATAGGAATCGAACTATAGAACTTGAGATAAACCTGGGGAAAATTTAACCAACTAAGCTAAATATATATTAATTGCTCTCAAGTACTCCCTCCGTTTCAATTTAGTTGTCGTTTTAGGATTTAAATTTTGTTTCATAATAGTTGTCGTTTTAGGTTTTCAATGCAAATGTTTGGTGAAAATTCCAGTTTTATCCCTACTGTTTTAATGTTTTGGCCAATGAAATTTTTTATAAAATATATTAATAAAGGGTAAAACAGAAAATTTAATGTTTTTCTTAATTTGGGTGAAAAAATCTTAGACGACAACTAAAACGAAACGGAGGGAGTGTTTATTAAGTTTATAAAATCTGTGTCGGGCACGTGCCCAACCTCCTCTCTAAGTAGATCCGCCCCTGTTGACCGGTATTGACCAACAAAAATATTCAAAAAAAATTATTTTTATTTATTTTAATATTAAAAAATTATTCTATTAAATCTTTTATGGTATGTATAATTAAAAAGGAAAACACATTCAATATTCAACATAAATATATTTTGTATATATATCTAATACATTGCTTATTATAATTAGTTAGTTTTATCAATTTCAAAAGTAAAATAAAAATAATTAGCGAATTAATTATTTTTACTTTGTAAATAAAAAAATTAACTTCTTATTTTACAAATATTTTTGCTAAAATCAATATCGTTAGATTTTCTATTTTTTGATATATTAAAAGAAACATTGCAGCTTTTTTTTGTTTGATTACGCGTTATTACGAAATTTTTTTTAATAATTTTAATTACAAAAGTTAACAATATAATTAAATTTAGACTAAAGAGTATGTAAAATTTTCTATATTTTTAACTATGTATTATGATTTTGATTTTAGTAAAAAACTTTATTTTTTTACCATGCAAACTTTAGACTAAAGAGTTATATACTCAAATTTCTAATAAAATTAATAAAATTTATTTTATTTCACTTTTAATGTAGTTTTGAAATTGTAAACATTAACTAATTATTAGAATCATACCAAACTAACGAACTAATTTTGTTAGTATGTCGACATAACTAACTAACTAATTTTGTTAAATGAAGATATTTTCATAGTTTTTAAACTGAAAAAGAGACTCTAGGAACTTCAATAAAGATTTTATGTAACACTCCGGTTTCAAGAATACGGTGGTGCATGCGAAAAGGTTTAAAAGAATCGATTTGGCTATCTATGTTACTAAAGTTCACTTATCTTCTCGGTCAAACGTCTTGAGAGAACTCCACAGTTAAGCGTGCTTGAGCTGGAGCAATTTTTCAGGATTGATGACTTTCTGAAAAATAATTGTCGGAACTGTGTGAATGAGGACAAAACACAAGAAAAGATCATGTGGTAATTTGTAGGATAGGTAAACAAATCTTTAAAGTCTTTCAAACATAGCGGATCGACTATCGGAAGATAGTAGACCCATGGTCCGAAAGAAGACGTGGAGCCCATAAAAAAGATGATACGTTATATACTAAATGCTAGAAGTCACTATATAACACAAATAATCGTTTAATTAGTTCAATTGCTTTCCTCTCACCTCAAACTCTAGCTAAACTTTGCATTTTGAATTAAACTTTAGAAGTTTTAAGAGACACTGTTGATGTTTCAAGTAACTTCGCTCGTGTTTTCTTTGGTTGATGCGTATTTACTCCTCGCAGCTGATCTTCAACGATATATGTTTTCTTAAAGAGTTTTGTGGACGCCTAAAACTTTTAACAAACAACTCTAAATTGGAGTATTAGATTACGGAAATTAGAGTTAATTAATAAGAATTATAACCCTCTTGATTAGAGAAAAGATTGATCCAACATGCAAAACAACATATATACACGTAAAAAATCTAGTGGAGAGGGTCCACACGTTTGACAACTCAAGTTGTATAGAGACGTACGTGTGCTATTAATCTTATTCTTAGAAACATTGACGATCGAAATAAAGAATCCTAACAATTGTACATACCTAATACATGATACAAAAAACAAATATTTCATTACTTGTCTCTTTCTGTCTTCGATCTAATATGCAAATTGCAACTTGATATAAAACTTATAAAACTAGAAGATGATTTGTACATGTGAATCGTGAAAGTTGCTTTTCATTGAAGCCGCCAGTGGTTATGGAGTGTTTGAATTGAAGACCAGTTGGGGAAGAATTGACCATACTCAATCCCAATTTTATAACCACCATCGTTGTTCTTATTTTAATAATGTTTTCGTCCCACATCCACATGTGAAACCAATAAGAAACGTCACTTTCAGTGTCGGTAAATTGCCTGATAATGTCACGTAGGAATAATATAAACCCACTGGGATATTAATGACTGCAATAACTGAGATATTAAATATCGATGACGAAAAAATCAAGTATCAGTTTTTTTTTCTACAAAAGAGAGGTCAAAATTGTAACGTAAATTGACGTAAGGAAAACAATCATTACAAGTGACGTTTCGTTGTAGGTAATTTAATAGTATATAAACTATTCGAGATTAGAATATTCAAGAAATGGAAGGTAGAAGTAGAACAGCTTGGATTTACATTATTTGTGTCCATAAATCAAACCTACTTATTCCTCTTTGATTTACATGCATGTAATTGAAGGAAACTAGCCAAATTCGTTATATTTATGCTTGAGCTGTAAAGGATATAAAGTAAATCACAATTATACATATTTTAATTACACTTTTGGGCAATTGATTAAGGACACTAATTCTTTTATATATATTATTAGTAAAATTCGACGTCGATATATATATATATATATATTTTTTATGATATTTTTGGATCGATAAGGCCCGAAGGCCCGATCCATAATCAATCTCTATTACATAGAGAAACGCGATTTAGTGGAGTTGAACTCCGATGGAAAAAGACGGAATCAAATAAACTTAACCACTTTACTAAAAACACATCCCCAAAGTTTGACATCGATAGTTTAACTAGACTTTTAACATTATAGTATTAGTTTAACAAATATAATAATTTTGTATGTTATTATTTCCAATTTAAAAAGATTATGTTCTTAGATCCCAAAAAAAATGAATTACCAATTATTAATTATTGAGTTTTATTTTCATTGGATTCTCTTAAAGCTTTCTGGGTTTTTCATGTAACCACGGTTCACTCAAATATTCGATGTCAAATTTGGTCCAAAAAAGGAAGAAAAATACACAAATAAGAGATACCATACCTATTAACAGAAAAAAATTACAAACATAGAAATACATTTATTAAAGGAATAAAAATATAATGTGTAATATAGAAATATAATGCATTAATGAAAGACACCTGGTAAGTTCGAGCTTTTTGACGAACGCGGAAAGCGAGATCGAAAAAAAAACAGTTGGATCTTTCCAAATTCCACCGTGTTGTTGTTATATACGTATTCTTAATACCAAAAAACTAAACCTCAAAAGAAAAAAAAAAAAAAAAGAAGAAGAAGAAGAGGAGCTAAAAACGACGGCGTAGAAGGAGATTCTTGCCATGGCCACACATAGTCTCTCCTTCTTCTTCAGAGTTCTTCTCCTCCTCTTTCTTACTCTCTCAGGTTTCCTCCTTCTCCTTCATTTTTGTTTTAATAACCGCGAAGTTCGGACCAAAGAGACATGTTTTTTTGTCTTTAGGCCAGGACCAGAGCATTCTAATTATGTTTTGTTTGTTTTTTTTATAGAGAGAATTAAAGGGCAAGGTGTGGGAATCAACTACGGCCAAATTGCTAACAATCTCCCATCTCCGGCGAGAGTTGCCGTACTCCTCCGATCACTAAACATCACAAGAGTCAAACTCTACGACGCAGATCCAAACGTTCTCTTCTCCTTCTCAAACTCACAAGTCGATTTCATGATCGGTTTAGGCAACGAGTATCTTCAAAACATGTCAACAGATCCAACCAAAGCTCAAGATTGGTTACAACAAAGACTTGAACCACATATCTCAAAAACTCGAATAACCTCAATCGTTGTCGGTAACGAAATCTTCAAAACCAATGATCATGTCCTCATCGAAAACCTTTTACCGGCTATGAAATCGGTTTACG